GTTAGTACCAAAGCCCAGGAACCGAGTTCCGACCCTCGGCAGCCGGGGGGCTGCCGAGCTCGGGGTGCACGGGCAGCCGCATCCCGGGCGCCACGGCCCCCGCGGCCCAGGCCGTGGGCCTGCATCGCTGTCTGGGGTCTGCCCCGGCCAGGGCCGGCGAGTCCTGCGGCTCCCGGGGGCAGACCACGCGGGCCGAGGCCTGCAAGCCGGGTGAGCCCCATCCCCAGGAACTGCCGAGACGGTGCTGCGCGTGGAGCCCTGGCCGGGAGTGACCGAGCACCCGGAGCGCAGAAGCCACCCGGCTGCCGAGGGTCGGAACTCGGTTCCTGGGCTTTGGTACTAACCTGCGCTCCGGGCGCTTCCCGGATTCAGCTCCCTGCGGGGCTCCCAACGGTCGTTGTGGGATGCCCACGTGGGTGTGGCTTCCACTAGGGGCTGGCCGCCTTGGTGCAGCTTGGGGCTGGGAAGTGGGTCACGATGGTGGAACTGTACCGGCTCAAATCAGGCTTCGCTGGATTTGGACCGCCCCGGCAGCATCCACCAGCCCCGGCCCAGGACTACTGGAGGTGGAGAATAACCCAGGTGCTAAACTGGAAGGCAATACCTATTTAAACCAGCCCACCCCTCAGTTCGGGGAGCGCTGATTCTACACTTCGAGGTGTCTTCTGCTGGTAATTTTGGAGCACCCATGAGAACGCAGTGCCTCTAATTATATATATATATATATATATATATATATATATATATATATATATATACATATATATATACACACACACACATACATACACACACACAGAGTATTCTCATCACAACCTTTAGGGGTTTACTGAATGTCATCAGGGAAATCACTTCCCTTCATTAAGAAGAATTGAATTTATGAATTTCAAAATCTACTCCCAAGATACCCATTTTTTTAAAAGTAGTCTTTTTCCTGGTTGGTGAAAATGTTTTAATTATCGAGTAGAATTTGCTGTATGATTCTTGATGCCAAACGAGAACCTAGCACAAGGTACTACATAGCATTAAATATATTTAGCTCTTTTAGTCCTAAATGGCAACTTGCCCAGAGCGAAATCAGCAGGACTGGATGCTTCTCACCAGTTCTTGTGAAGATGCTGTCACATGGATAATTATGGATCCTTTTAAGTGGCGTCCTGCTGCTGACAGTGGAAGACACCGTGGATCTGGTTGCTCAACGCTGACCTAGAAGTCAGTTTGCATCAGCTGTAGGTCCGACATCTAAAAGGAATATGTGCTCTTGAGATAAAAGCTCGGAAACCCTCCTGTGCGCCTCCTTCAAAATTCTTTTCAAAGGTTAGAGGGGGGGGTCCAGAGATTTAGAGGACCACAGCAGTGAGTGCCTTAGGCTGGTGGGACATTTTGTCTTTTGTCCATGTTGTCTCAGTGGCATGGACTTGGGGCTCAAGTGATTCTTCTCCCTCGGCCTCCTAAATAACAGTCTACCGGCCTGAGCCTCCAAATCAGGACCACTTCATCAGTTCAGTGAAGAAGCAAATATATTCAGGATGGGCAGGATTTTAAAGCTGCATGTGCCGGCTGAACATCTGAGGTATGAGTAATCTCAATGGAGCTATGCTGTAGGTGCATACTGTATTTCAAAATCAGCGTGAGAAAAACGTAAAAAAAAATCCTTATTTTAAAATACCGATTAAAGTTGAGGCCGGAGAGATGACTCGGCAATTGTGAGCCCTTGCTGCTCTTGCAGAGGACTGAGGTCTGGTTTCCAGCACCCACAGGGCAGCTTGCAGCCTTCTGTAACTCCAGTTCCAGGGGGCTGATTCCTCTTTCCTGTTCCCCATCGGCTCTGGTGCACATTCACACATGCTGGCAAAACACTCACAAAGTAAAAATTTTAAATCATGATTAATGTTGAAATACTTTGGATATATTGGATTAAAATAATTATTAAATTTTACTTTTAAAAAACCCAACGTGGCATTAGAAAATGTTTTGTTCTAGATGCAACGTGACAACCATTGATGGATTGTGGCTGACCATAGACTGGAGATTTGATTTAAGGTGAAGAGAGCAGTGATGAGGAGAAACTGGCACAGGTATATATATCTGCCAAAAAATAAATGTCATTTCAGCTGACTTTAATAGAAGTGGAAGGCTCGGCTCCTCTCCCTCTGCTGCTTACACGCGCATGGCTCTTTCATGTAGACCAGGGAAAAGCCTTCCTTGACAAGCGTACATGCCTGTGGTTTTGCAGCTCTCTTTCCTAACATACTCCATTATGGTGAAATTGTGTTTTCATGTATGTCTTTGTGCTCCCACCCCTACCAAAATCCTGTGGGCCCTTTGAGCACAGGAACCTTTCTCTGCGTATCTTTGGATCTGGAAACTGAGATCTAAGTATTAACGTGGGGACCAGGGAAAGAGAAAGGGGAGGAAAATAAATTCCTTTGGTTGTCACAGGGATAATAGGTACATACTCGAGTCCTTGCTTGATTTCTTTCTCACCCTGGGAGATGAGGCTGAGATGCCCAATGTGCAAACGGCAGAACCACTGCACAGCTGGGGTAGATAAGGAAAGACCTCTGACCTCTTTAGAGCCATTCAGCTCAGGCCCGGCACTCATCTGAGCATCCGTCCTCCCTGCCCTTTTCCTGGATTTCCTGTTTTTCTACTCCCTTTCTTATTTCTATTGCCATGTTAGGGATTGAGTCCAGAACCTCACACATGCTTCGCAAGTGAGCTACGTCTCCAGCCCCCCACTCCATTCTACCACAATATCTGAGTTCTCATCTCTTAGTAAAGCCACAAAAAAATTATCTTGTGGGCAATGATTAGGAAAGCAAGAGAGCCATCTCCAAACTTAAAGTCAGAATTCGGAAGCCCAAGTGATCACTGTGTCATGTGCATTAGTCAATTTGTGGGTGGCCACGTGGGGGGGGGTGGAGGGGGACAGCTGGTGGCAGTTGAAGTTCAAGGTGTCAGCCCATCAGGAGGAAACTCTCTGGGTTAGGGAAGGCCCCCAGATCACAGACCCTGACTGTCCTTTGCTCCTGCTGTGCCTGCCTTGACATGCTTGCTGCTGCTGTCTTTCTCTGGTATCTGGCATGGTGTGAATGTGGGGGGGAGGGGCACACACTGCCTGTAATTTAGTGCGTTTATCTCATGGAAACATCCCATTCTACCAGGCATTTTGACCTTACTATGAAGATGATTCCTTCCTAAGCTGTACTGGCTAATTGATAATAAGTATGTTAATTTAAATAGAATTTTTATGATAAAAAAATAAAACGAGGTGTCACACAACTAGAGCACATGAGTTTCTATTGAGGAGCTGTATAGATTACGGTTTAGGTTAATGATTAAGAAAAACAGCTGAGTCACAGTAGCCCAGTGAACTTAAATTCTTTAGCCTTAATGATGGGAGATGTGTTCACAGGTTTCAGAGTGTATCACACCTGAAAAAAAGTTTTGAAAATAACATAAAATTAAACTAAGATGTTTTTGTCAAATAGCTTTGAGGTGAAAACCCAAGAAGACAACCTGAAGTTTTAGAAAGGCACAGAGTTGGATGTGGAACTCGTTAAGGTAGAGAACAAGAACAGAGCAGGCCAGTTATCAGTACCTTTCTTACTGGGACTGGTTGATGACCAAAGGTGATTAATTCCTTGTACCCATTTTTGCCCTTAATCTCATGATATAAAAAACTATTGATGAGTGGGTTTTGCACCCTAAAAATTTAAAGTAGAGCTAATTGTTTTTCTTATATAAAAGTTTAGGTTTGTAGCCGGGCGGTGGTGGCTCACACCTTTAATCCCAACACTTGGGAGACAGAGGCAGGCGGATCTGTGTGAGTTCGAGGCCAACCTGGTCTACAAGAGGTAGTTCTAAGACAGGCTCCAAAGCTACAGAGAAACCCTGTCTCAAGAAGAAAAAAAAAAGTTTAGGTTTGTAATTCCTTTAAGATTCCTTATAAGATTGATTACCTTTTGATATAAGTAATAAAGTGATTGGCCCTTTCTTTGTAACTGCAAAATGCAGTCTGCCAGTAAAAGACCTGATTAAGAATAGCTTGCTTGCCTACATGTTTAATCTATAACAAATTGCTTGGGTATGAATATACATGGTTTCTTGGGATTTTTTTTAACCTGTAATACATAAAATGTTTAATCATGTAAGGAATATGGAAAATTTGCTGTTTTTTACTGTTTTGTGTTCATTGTAATCATTTGCTTGAAAAACAGAATGTAAACACACTGTAATTTTTATACTGCCTGAAAGATTTTCCTGGGGTATATAAGCTGTAAGGGAAAGAATAAAGGTAGAATTAGATAAGAGTTTAAATGGATTAGAAGGACAACATCAAGAATGAGAGCAGGAAATCACCAGGAAAATAAAAAGTAGAGAATGCAAAACAAGAATAAAGGTCTGAAGGAAACCATCGAGAAAGTGTGAGTGTCTTTCTCCTAACGCCCTCAGATAGGAAAGTCTAGGGCACGTAATGCTGCTATGAACATAGTTGACCAAATGTCCTTGTGGTGTGAATGTGCCTCCTTTGGGAATATGCCCAAGAGTGGCATTGCTGGGTCTTGAAGTATATTGAATCCCAATTTTCTGAGAACTCTCCATACTGATTTCCAAAGCAGCTGTACAAGTTTGTGGTTCCATTGTTCATAATAGCCAGAACCTGAAAACAATCTAGATGTCCCTCAACTGAAGAGTAGATAAAGAAAATGTGGTACATTTATATGGAGTACTACTCAGTGATAAAAAACAACAATATATTGAAATTTGCAGGCAAATGGACTGAAGTGGGAAAAAAAATATCTTGAGTGAGGTAACCCAGACCCAGAAAGATAAATATGGTATGTACTCACTCATAAGTGAATATTAGGCATAAAACAAAGGATGACCAGCCTACAGTCTAAAACACCAGAGAAGCAAGGTAACAAAGAGGACCCTAAGAGAGACAAACACAGATCTGCTAGGAAGAGGAAATAGACATGATCTTTTAAAACCTTCATCCAATAACTGACAGAAGCAGATGCAGAGTGGTTAGTTGTGGAATTGACCACTGGCCAGAGCTCCGGGAGTCCTGTCGGAGAGGAGTGATAACATGAGCAAGAGGGTCAAGACCATGATGGGGAAGCCCACAGAGAAAGCTGACCTGAACTAATGGGAGCCCGCTGACTCTGGACAGACAACTAGAAAACCTGCATAAGACTGATCTAGCCCCCACCCCGAAAGATGACAGTGGGTGACTTGCGGTTTGTGGGGGCACTGGCAGCAGGACCAGGAGCAATTCTAATGAATGATCTGGCTTTTTGGAGCCCTTTTCCTATGAAAAGTTGCTCAGCCTAGACATGAAGGGGAGGGCCTTGGTCCTGCCTCAATGTGGTGAGAATTAGTTAACTCCCCATGGGAGGTCTTGCCCTCTCTGAGGAGTAGGTGGGGGATGGGATAGGGGAACTGGAGGGGGAACTGGGATTAGCATGTAAAAAAGAATAAAATTAAAACAAAAAGTCTAGTACACCCTGACACCATGGATTCCTTTCAAGCCCTGTGCTGTCTTAAGGCCGCCCAGACAGCAGTAAGTTTGCCCTTCTTATTTAGTCCCCTGAAGTGTGAGGTTTTTCTGCACTCTGTAAAATGTGCTAAGTGTGCCTTACCACACATGTTATCACTGACTAGCGCCCATCATAGTACCAGTAATCATGGGACCAGAATATCATTTCTGCTCCTGGAGCTGCTGGTGCCACTATGGCTGCTAAATTCTTGGATTCCTGAAATAACAAAGCAGTTGTAAGTGGTGCAGAGGTGGGCAGTGCCCAGAACCACTGAGCTGTCTCTCCAGTCGCCCAGCCTCTGTCATCCTGAAGTCAGAGCAGCTGTAACTACCTACTCCCAACCTTCCCAAAAGACCTCACCTTAAGAGTCTAGCCAGACTCCTGTCCCCTCCCTGCTGTCAGAGGCACAAATCCTGTCCCAGATGATGTGGTTTGGGAGGCAGAGTGCTTGGAGAACATAGGTGGTGGAAGGTTGGCCTGGGTTGGAACGCCAAGTGACAGCTTTTGTGAGTTGTCACTATACTAGGACAGGGGATTTCAGATACAGCCACCCAAAGTCATCCATGCTTCTGAGTCCCCACCATAAGCTCACCGTTCGCCAGCTGGACTTGAGTTTCCTTGTGCTGCTGGTGTCCTCTGGGGGTAAAGAGGTTTCTAAGTTTCCCAGGAAAAGTTGCACAGCATTAATTTTTATCCGTGTAGTAGCACGAGACTTATAATGAAAAGTAGCAGGGTCCGCTCTAGCCCTCTACACTCAAGTTTCTCATCTCTAAAACTCTCTATAGTGCCATCTCTGAGATTTAGCTCCATATTTCTAAACAGCATGGTTTCTGTTGCTGTTGGTGGTGCTGGGAGTTGTGTTGAAGCTAGCTAGGGTCTTGTTCATATTAGTGCAGGGCTCTGCCAACCCTCTTTAATTGATGAGGGAGGGCTACTAATAGTCTGGGCAGGCACTGATTCACTCTGCAGCTCAGATTTCAAATGTACCTTAAATTTGAAATCCTGCCTCAGCCTCTCCTGAGTAGCTGGGAATACAGGCTAGTACTAGTACTTCTTGTTATCTCTGGACATTATTTCATTATTTTACTCCTTTTTTCATTCTTTTTATTTTTTGAGACAGGGTTTCTCTGTGTAGCCTTGACTGTCCTGCAACTAGCTCTTGTAGACCAGGCTGGTCTCGAACTCACAGAGATCCACCTGCCTCGGCCTCCCAAGTGCTGGGATTACAGGTGTGTTGGGATTACAGGTGTGCATATAAAACACACTTATACTCTAAGTCTCCAACCTTTTTGAAAACTTGACTCCTGCATCCTCTATCCTAATATACTATATCATACTATTAAGGTAAATATTTTATTATAAAGGTATATACACTATTCATAGCTAATTAGCATATAACTACAATCTCTTGAAAATAAAGTTAGCTATTTCCACTTTCTTCATGAAAGCTAAAGTACGTGGTATTCAAGTATTGATAATTTATCCCGTAGTCTCAGAACATCCAAACACATGAGACAGTCTGCCCCTTTTCCTTCCAAGTGCTGGGTATTACTTTTAGGTCTTCATGTATTCCATTCATTAAGAGGGAATCTTCCCAGAATACCTCATTGACCGTCACACTGAACTGACATTTCTCCATGCCTACTGCATAGCTTTTATTCTGGGATAATTTTACCTTATATTCCCCCATTTCCCCTCTTTTTATTTCTCTGTAGAGCTGTTGATCAAACCCAGGGTTTTGATCCATGCTAGACACTCCACCATTGAGTTACACCCCCAGTATTAGTCTTTTCCCCATTTAAAGAACTCTCTTTCTCTCTCTCTCTCTCTCTCTCTCTCTCTCTCTGTGTGTGTGTGTGTGTGTGTGTGTAAATGTGCATTCATGGGTTTCCATAAAAACCAGAAGACAGCATCAGATTTGAACTGAACTGGAGTTATAGGCTGTTGTAAGCTGACTGATGTGGGTGCAGAAAACCAAACTCTTGTTCTCTATAAGAGTTCTTAACTGCCTACCCATCTCTCCAGCCTTCTTCAGCCTCCCCTCCTTTTTGAGACAGTCCTTCTATGTTGCTAGCTTTGAATTTACAATCCTCCTGCCTCAGCCTCCTAAACCCTGGAATTTGCACCACAACACCTGGCTTTCTAGCCCTAGTGTTCTAATCTTGTATAACATACCACACCCTAAATAAAAAGTCTCTGAGAAAACAAGTAAGATTATTTAAACAATTGTATAGATTCTGGAGGTAGTTATAACTATTGATTTTGTCGTCCATTATTAAAGAGCCTGCTCTAGTAAACTTCAGGCGTTTTTCACAATTAGGATAATTTAAAAAGTACAAGAAGTCTTTTGAGGTGGAGTGGCAGGGCCTCCCGAGCAGCAGGGCATAGTTCTAGACTGTGAGAGTCACTGTCACAGTTGGAACACACTGCTTGCTGGGCTTCTTAACCATATTAAAATAAAAATGAAAAAGATATGTATCCCTAAAAGTTAAATTTCTACCATGGGCAAACTATTTATTTGGAATACCAACTAATGACACAATTATATAGTAAGGTTAATTTGACCCTTTCCCTGCCCAAACCTCTCTCATTTGTTATTCAAATAAACACTTCCTTTTCTAGAAGTAACTGTTCTCTTATATGCTGCCAGTTGGTTCAATATAAAAGATTGTTCTTACACTTGAAGGCTTGGTGACTACCCAACACTTTACTTTGGATATTAACACTTAACACTTAACCCTGTGAGTTCAGTACTTTTTCTACTTGTTTCATAGACACAAATCCAGGTTCAGTGAGATTCTCTAGTCTGTCCAGAAGGTCCTAAAGCAGAAAGTCGATGCAGTCAGACTGTGCCCTGGCTCCTCCACCTCCCAGGTTGGGACCCTGGCACAGAGACCATCAGACAAGCACACAGAGGGAAAGATTCCAGTTTATTGATACATCGGTGTCACAAATAAGCCCAGTATAGTCAGAAACGCTGAGCAGATAAAGTGCTAATGCAGAGAGACCTGGCAACAGGAGGAGGGAGGAATCCAGCTCATCTCCTCCATGTCCCAGCCTGGAAAGGTATTTCTACTACACAGAGCAAGGGTAGCTGGGTAATCCAATCTATAGTGCTCTGAGCTAAGGAACACAAACTCATACTAGTGGACTGTGTGCAGAGCAAGGAAAAGGGAAGTCAAAATACCCTTTCCTCATAGACATTCCTAGATATAGAAATAACAAAAGTAATTTTTTTCAACTTCCTGGATGTGCTATCTATTAAGGAATGAGACAGGCAGCTCTCTGTGAGTTTGAGGCCAGCCTGGTCTACAGGACAACTTCCAGGACAGCCAGGGATGTCTACTACTTTTCTGGGACTCAGAACTGATGTAGTAGACACTTTCTTACACCCTTAGGAACACTAAATTTCTGACTAGGAAAAACTCATTTACCTTCTTACTTTGCTAACTCCCAAAAGCAGAGCCAGTATCTCCTGTGAACACTGGGGAGACAGAAGCTGTTAGAGAATTTGGCAGCATTTAAAAAGCCTTACTGACAGGAGGCAGTCACAGGTGTACTTATGAGAGTTCAAGGCCAGTCTCCTCTGTATATTGAGTTCCAGGTCAGCAAAGGCTACATAATGATATCCTCAAGCACTAATGAATATCAATAGTTCTTATAATTATCTTGAAGCATTTTAGGCATCTATTATGCCTGGAAATTAAAAATAACCTGGTTAAAGAATTCAGGCTGTTTGAACAAGCTGAGTGACCTATGACATCAAGTCCAGTTCACCCCAGTTGTTTCTATTTCCAAACTTTAAAAAAAAAATCACTGACTGATTTTTGAGACCAAAAGGAACACTAAAGATCATCTAGATATTCTTGTGTCAAAAGGGCCAGCATCAATTGCATCTTTCAGGAACCTGAGAATTCCTGGCCCCACTTGGTCCTCAGGAAATCCAAATAAGGAGACACTAGACGGAGCCTGCCGTATGCTTCCCTTGCAGCCTAGAGTCAAGGTTTGGAGTGGAACTCTCAAGTAGGGAAATGAGGGGTGGTATCTTCCTGCTCTGTCCTGCAAGAAGCAGACTGGTGTGATTCTGTGATAAACAGAAGAGCAGGGAGGCCTCAGTGGGAAGGGCCCAGTCCTCCCACACACGGGAAGCCACTCATAGGCAGGCTGACAGCTGGAACACTAGACAATATTCAAAGTTTGAGAACTGCTATGAGCCAAGGGTAGACTTGGGAAAATCTTGAAGGGATACTCATAGTTGGGTAGTTTTCTGACTTAGCCAAATACTTCTATAACTGAACTGCAGGGGAGATTCCATTATTGGTACCTCTCTATGCCTGAGACGACACACTAGCAAAAACAAAATAACAACAACAACCCTGTGATGTCCTCAAACCACTGAGATGGGTCAGGAAATACTTGGCAGTTATAAAGCTTGTTCTGTTTTGTTTGTCTTCTGAGACTGTGTATCCCTGACTGGCCTGTAACTTACTTTGTAGGCTAGGCTGGTCTCATACTTGGGGATCTGCCTGCTTCTGCCTCAGCTTCCTGAGTGCTGGGATTAAAGGCGTGTACCACACCCAGCTCCTAATGGTTCTTAACACTGCCAGCTGCCGTTCTTTCCTTGTACTGAGGGGTTTCCCAATCATCAATTCCCTACCTGGAGGTTTCACTCCCTATTTCAACCCCAGGAACATTTACCAGGTAGGCTGTCCCACTGAGTGTACTCAGTCTCCTCACCCTATTCTGGTCCTACTTTGGCTTTTGTTTTCCTTTCTACCTCTCTTTCCAGCTACTTGAATCACTGTGACGTGTAACAAGACAGACAGAAATTCTGACTGGTTCCTAGGGGTAATCAGTATCTGACGGTGACAATTAGATTATTAGTGGTATGTCTGGAGCGAATAACCCTTCCAATCTGTAGTTTCTTTCTCTCGTGTTCAGTTCACTGTGAGAGACTCGTCTCATCTTTGCAGCCTGTTGTTATCCCCTCACTCTCATTTCTCCTGTGGTGTGCACCTGTGCACGCTCACAGAGGCCAGAGGGACATGTGGGTATCCTCTATTTCTCTCACTCCCCACTTTGTTCCTTTGAGGCAGGGACTCTTCCTGCCTTTCTTTCTCTCTCTCTCTCTCTTCCTCTCTTAGACTGGCAGCTAGAAAGTCCCAGCCGTTATCCTGTCTTCAGCCCTTCAGTTCTGGGGCCACAGGCATGTGTAGGACTCGGTCCAGCTTTTGCTTGGGTACCGGGATCCAAATGGCAGTCTTCATGCTTGCGCAGCAAACACTCTTCATCCCCAGGCCGCCTCTCGACCTCCGGGGCCAGCGACTGAACCCAGGACCTTGTGCACATCAGACAAGCACTCCAACGCTGGCCCACATCCAGGACCCCTCCTTTCTTTGCACTCTGACCTTGCTGCCTTCCTCTTAAGGCTTGGGGAAAATGAAGCAGCACAAAGCCTTGGTTTATATGTCAGGCTGATTCTGGCTGTCTTCTGCCACTGACTTAATACGTAAGCGTAGATGACACGCTCGCCTGTCTGTGTATTTAAATGAAAGGTCTGGACTAGATAGATGATCTCTCTGAGACATCTTTCAGATCAGGTCACATTGGAAAAATCAATCACTTTATTAGAAGAGATTCTAACTTCAAGACATGTTTCTATATCTCTTTGAAATAGCTAAAAAGAGGTTCCTATTTACTATATATTTTACTATTTAAAGAAAGCGTTATCTGTGGAGAAATTGAACTTGGCAGCCCCTACACTGGACTAATAAAAGCAAATCCTTGTAATAAGCAGAGAAATAGGCCACAAATAAGACCTGGCAGTGTCAAAAAGGGTCTATAAATTAAATATTCAAAGAAGTAAAAAACAATGGCTGTTTAACCATTAAGCCATTAACCAGACAAGATCTCTAAGCACAGACTATAGTCTAGAAAGGTCTGAGTGGGAAGAAGCCCCAGCAGGATGTACTGGAGGGAAGGACTTGGTCCATAGCAAGTTGCTACTGCATTTAATTCAAACCCAGTTTTCTCAGTCTGTCAACCTGGTGTGTCTGCACAGGCAGACACGCTCTGGGCTGTAATTATGCTTCTGAAGTGCTGAAATGAGAAAGAAAACAAAAAGTTGATAACAAATTCAAAGAAGTTAATCTGAAGGCAAATAAACTGGCTTAAAAACTTCTTGTGCATACACCTATAATCCCAACACTTAGGGGCTGAAGCAGGAGGCTCATGAATTCAAAGGCAGCCTGGGGTGCATACTAAAACCCTATCTCAATGCCTCCACTTCCACCTCACACCCCATTCCGTACCTGGGCTACATACTGAAATTTTGTTTCTCTCTCTCTCTCTCTCTCTCTCTCACACACACACACACACACACACACACACACACACACACACACACCCTTAAGAAGCTGTTCATTTCTGCCTCTATTCTGTGTGCTATCATTTTTTATCATAGCATGCAGTCTACAGAGTCTGTGGGACAGTGAACTCTGGTCTGGGGAAGAGCAGACTGGAAACTAAAGATGGGCTGTAACCCACACACTGAGTCCCCGAATCCTGACAGATGGATTTGATTTCCCTGACTTGGCTTCAGTACTCACTTGTCTTCACTCAAAGAAACCGTCTCCACGAAAGGGATTTCTTCTTTGTCTGTCTTCCCAAGGATCAGCCGATGCTTATCCAAATTTATGATACACTAGAACAAAGGAAGATCCCTCACTGGTCACTTGTCAGTGATGCTACTCTCAGGTCCCTGCCTCTGAGAGGAAGCATCAAAGGAAAAGTAGAGTCGGGCCTACCTTCAGGGATCTAAGAGTCTGAAGACCAAGCGACAAGTTTTTTTCATTATCATCTATTAAAAACAAAACAGTAAGGTTCAGACATTTCTATGTTGGCTTAGATGTCAGCCTAATCACTGTTGGGTTCATTTGTCCCATCATCCATCCACCCACCCAACAAACCAGCCAGCTACGTAGCCAATACACGTCTGTTGAACATCTATTATTGAGTACTTTCTCAGATCAGTGTAGTTAAAAGAAGGCAAAAGCCAAAATTCAAATCAGAGTCTTTCCTACTCTAGAAGACAGAGGCCTTCAGCAAAAAATAGACAGGTAGTTTAACAGAGAACACATGAGAAGCACAGAAGGAGAGTAGGCATTTATGGCAGAGGAGTAAGAAGATCGAGCCATCACCAATAACAAGTTCATAAAAAGTGTCGGGAAGGAGGACTGGAGAGATGGCTCAGTGGTTAAGAGCACTGGCTGACCTTCCAGAGAACCCAGGTTCAATTCCCAGCACCCACATGGCAGCTCACACCTATCTGTAACTGTAGTTCCAGGGCTTTTGACACCCTCACACAGGCATACATGCATCACTGAGCATAAAATAAAAATAATAATTTTTTTAAAAAGTGCTCTTGGAGGCACTTTAATATCTGGCTTTGGGCAGGTAAAATTACTCAGTGGGCAAGGTGTTTTCTGTCAAGTCTGAAGACCTGATTCAATCCTTGAATTCACATAGTGGAGGGAAAGACATGACCTCTGACCTCCATCCAAGTGTCATGTCACAGGAGCAAACCCATTCCCCAAACAAGTAAATAAGTAAATGTAGAAAAAGTCTGTTTCCTTGTGGCCTGTGTGCACAATGGAATTTTTTTTTTATCCGTAAAGAAGAATGAAGCTATGTCATTTGTAGGAAAATGGATGCAACTAGAGATAAATCACGGGAAGTAAATTAAGTCAGTCACAGAGACAAATACTTCATGTTTTCTCTCACTTGTTTGTCTTAGATTTCAGATGGACACATAAAGTCATAATAAACAGATAACATAAAATAGTGGAGAATCCGCCTAGGGAAACAATGGGGCCTAACTGGACAGATGAGAGTGAGGAAGAGAAATGGGATATGTTCAAGGTATTTTTATATACTTGCATAAAAATAGCCTTATATTGTTAAGTATAATTTTTATTATTAAAAATTTGATTACATGTATTTATTAGGAGAACAGCTATGCCACGGCTCACACATGGAAGTCAAAGGACAATTTGCAAAACTCAGATTTCTCCTTCCACCATGTAGTTCTGGGCATCAAAGCCAGGCTGTCAGGCTTGATTACAAGCGTCTTGATCCACTGAACAACTCCACCAGCTCCATTCTACTTTTAAAGGTTTATTCATTTAGTGTTTGTACAGGAGCCTGAGGATGCCAGAAGAAAGTATCAGATCTCGTGGAGCTGGAGTCACAAGTGGCTGTGAGCCATCCTATATAGGTGCTGGGAACTTAATCTGAGTTTTCTGCAGGGGCAGGAGACACTCTAAGCCACTGAGGAATCTCTCCAGCCCCCAGTAAAAACATATTTAAAAATTAAAAAAATAATGTGCTTGGCTGATCATGGTGGTACATGTCTTTGATCATAGCACTCAGAAGGAGGGACAGGAGAACCTGTGAGTTCAAGGCCAGCCTGGTTTGTATAGTGAGCTCCAAGATAGACAGGACTATATAGAGAGACCCTGCCTCAGAAAGACACAGAAAATGTGGTGGGTATGGTGGCACTTCAATTACAGCACTTGGCAGGCTAAAATTAGCACAAAGATACACAGCGCAAGGAAACAGGAAGCTTGAATTTTGAAGAAGTCGGTATTATAGTCATGAGACCTCAGGAAGGTTTATGTCCACAGGTCTAGTCCCCAATGTAACTCACCAACCACAGCTGCTGGGCAATCCAGACGGAGAGAGCCCACTGTAATCAGTAAGTGCTCAATCTGGCCTACTACTTTGAGATGCCGTGGTAGAGAAAGTTTTTCTCCTTCATGCTTGTGAGATTTGACATGGTCCTTTAGTCTGAAACACAGAGAGATATCATAATCTCCTTAGCAAAGGCTTCTGATTCACAATCAGGGCTCTCTCGGGACTTCCTGGGCTAGCCAGCTTGTGCTTGCTTCAGCCCTTCTTCCTAAACATGCCAGAGAAACACAAAAGAAACCACGAGACTTGTTTCCTATTTTTAAGAAGCTTACATCACTACCTGCATTTGTGAAGAGAGGAGCTGACACGTTCAGAGAATTCTGCTTGTATCCTAACCTCCCCATATGTGTGTGAGATAGTTTAATTAGTGTGTCTTTTACCCATCTGGACATAACAGATATCAGAGGACAAATTAATACTAATTTAGAAAAAGCTTTGTTCAAGGCCCTATTTCCCCCTCCTTTCTATTTTAGTCTATCCCTGTCAGATTGTCTTAGGCTATAAGGTAAATGGGGACAGACATTTATTTGGTAAGTGCATTGATATTGATATCATCAAAGAATATTATGGAGAAAATTCTCACTAATTTGACTTGGCTTTGCGGGGACGGAAAGAAAGGAATGGAACCTAGGGCTCATACAATTACATAAGCTGATTGGACTAGCTAGCACCCAAGCTATTATGGTTGGTGGATAAATGCTTAATTATGGACCTTTTGTGCCAATACTTCTGTTCTCCATTTCCCCTCTCTTGGTGGTTCAGCCCATCCAAAAGAGAACTAATTGCAGTTTTACAGATGGCTATTAGTTCCTCCAGAATCATGGCAGTCTGCTGCCTAATTGGCACCAGGACATTATTAGTCTTTCTGGAACCATCATATTGTACATACCTCATCTCTTTACCACATTCAAAAAATAAGATTCTTCCCACTTGAGTCCTGGAATCTTCTTTATCCCAACCCTAAATAGTAATCTGCAAAATTTACAGAGCCAACTTCAGGGAGTCACAGCAGTGATGGGGACTAAGAACAAGGTGGATGTGGAATATATGTAATGCAATCATTAAGAATCCAAATGAAGCCCTGGGCAAGCCCACTTGAGAATATTCATGTCTTGGGTGAAATTCAAAATAGGCCACTTGGTCTGTCTCAATAACTGCTTAATTGCAGAGATTTGGTCTGAGGAATGATTTACTGTCTACAGGGAAATATGGAAAACAATACTAGGTTCATTCTGCTCATTTTACCCCAGGGGCTGTATGGTATTTTAGAAGAAAGGGTAGGAAGAAGGAAAGAAGTAATGGGAAAGGTTGAGTGAAATGGTGGTAAGACAGAACAGCTTTCTCTGCCCAGGAGAGGGAGAACCCTGGGCTTTCTCTCTCCCACCCACAGTCTAAAAGTCTGCTCAAAATGTAGAAAGCAGGAGTTTGCAGAAGGCCCAAGGTGTCCTGGATCTCTTCCGCTGTCTGACAGCCGCCTAGATTAAAAAACTTTGCATGTATCTCTGTGCTTCTGTGGATTATATTCAAGCGTTTATAACCAGAGTCAAACAAGGAATATAATTACATCTGACATGCACCCAGCACAGTGACTGCTTACCCCAATCTGTCCACACAGGCCGAAGAAATGAGATTATACTGACAGCCGGTGTCAACCAACGCTTTCATGTCCTTTCCTGCACACTGTGGGAAGGAAATATGTTCTTTAATAGGATCCAGAGAAGCCAAAGAGGAAAGAAGCAAAGAGCAAGAGGCAGCAAATGTCAAATGGAAGGATGGTCTGAGAGCCACCTTCCAGCTGGTCAGTCAGTGCCGTCCCATTTTCTCTCGCTGCTAACTCTGTCTTTGGATGTTTTTCCTTCTAACTCTAAGGCTGATCCAATACCCATAAGGAACTTTTGAAGTTTCATTCTATATACTAACTATTACATACACAATCTTTTTAAAATAATTATTCTGGGGGGGGGTCAAATAGAGGGCCTTGAGCATGCTAGATGAGTTTTCTACCTCTGAACTATATCCCAGCTCTTTAAAAAGATCACATATCCTTTTGTAAATCTGAAAAAAAGCTTTGGTACCTCTTTTCACTCAAATATGCACATATATAAAGTATTATATACATTTCTAATATATAGAACTTTAAAACTCATTTATTAATTCTATGCTAAAACCCACTATCTATAAAGTTTTGAGGAGAGGACCTTCTGTTGGGATTATAAAGGGCCCCCAAATCCTATTTTCTAGAAATTTCTATAAAAGCTGTTCCCTGAACATTACCTGGCAGGACACTAAAATCATGTCATCATCTTCACACTTCTTTAGCCCTTCAGACTTTGACTGATTGAATTTGTTGGTCTTGGAGGCCCAAGGGACACGACTGCTCCGGAGCTTGGACAGGTTGGTTTCCATGAGGCGCCTCTGCAGAATGTTATGAGGTTGCTTGAGGGACAGAAAGCAGAGGCTTCTTACTGCCAGGCCACTCCCTCCTCTCCCAACACGCCCACCCCTACCCCAGCTCCACAGATGTGATGAGGAAGCTCACATAACAGCTCCAGCTTTGCCTCATATTCTTCCCTCTGGTGAGATGTCACTGGTATTGTCAGGGCAGGTACTATAAACCAACATGTAATAGACTCTGGAGTGTGCTTCTTAGTTTTTTCTCAACCTGATACAAGCTCAGGTTATCTGAGAAGATGACCCATCAGTTGAGAAAATGTCCCCATCAGGTTGGCCATAGGAAAGCTGGTGGTACATTTTCTTGACTGACAATTGATGTGGAAGGGCCCAGCCCACTGCAAGTAGTACTGTGCCTTGGAAGGTGATCCTGGGGTCTACAAGAAAGCAGACTGAACAAGCCATGAGGAGCAAGCCTTTAAACAGAATTCACCCATGGCCTGTGCTTCCGTTCCTACCTCCAGGAGGTGTGGTCTTGTGGGAGGAAGTATATCACTGGGGCAAGCTTTGAGGTTTTCAAAGCCCTGAGATAATCCCACAGTGTCCTCTCTGCTTCCTGTTTGCGGTTCAAGAAATGTGAGCTTTCAGTTCTCAGCTTCCAGCTGCAATCGCCATGCCTACCTGTAACCATACTTTTCACTATGATGGTGATGGACTGTAGCCTTCTGGAACCTAAGTTCAAATAAACCCTTCCTTCAATAAACTGCCTTGGTCATGGGGTTTTATCACAGTAATAGAGAAGTAGCTAATACATGGAGATAGGGACCAACTATGGCTTAGAGAACTGAAGAGCCCTGGTGATGTGGACTTCTGCCTTCCTCCCTATACAAGGACAAGTCAGGACAAAGAAGCTGTATTCTAGAATAAGTGATCTCTGTATTTTCCTGAACAACTGTAAGTCGATGCCTTATAGAAAGGGCAGCTCATTGGCATGGGTACTCAGAAGCTCTCACTGCTATGTTAAATGTCACCCCCATTTAGTCTTACTTTTCATCTCTACTTTGCAGGTGCCTTGTGAGCCTGGCTCCTTTGAAGGTGGAGTTACCAGCTTGGCTGATGGAACAGGAAGACGGTAATTCATGGCTGAGTAAACTTCTTAACATACACATTTTGGAACCAGGCAAACTCCACAGGAATCATCCTGACAACCTGCAGCCTTGAAAATACTTGTCCTCCCATGTTATTCACTTATCCACTTTTCTCCTCTCCTTCTCCTCTTTCCTGTCTTCTGTCAGACCTTCTCTTTCCACAGTTTGAGGATTTACCCTAGAGTATGCTATATTTGCATACTAGTCAAACACTCTACCACTAAGTTTAGTGAACAAAAAAGTAGAAACAGACACTGACTGAGAAGAGAACTTAACATCCTTTATGAGTGTGTCAGGAGCGAATGCTAGGAGACAGATGACAGGTCTGCATTTCAGTAAACTTGGTAGAATTTCTAGATAATGGTCCTCTACTCCTGCTCAAAGTGGCCTCCAGCCCACTTAGAACACTTCTTCTTTTCTCTTTATCTTAGGTTAAGTCATTTGACCTGAGAAATTTTCTATACACATGTATTTTGTGCCCACTTTACAATAATATTTCAAAATTCTCAAAGGATAGCACTTAATCCTAATTCTAACCAAGCACATCCCTCCTCTGATTCAAAGAGTAAGAAGTTTCTCTTAGAAGTCTAGATCCCAGAAGGTCCTGGGGAAGGGGACAGCAGAGGAAGGCTTTATTATAAGCTACCTTGCAGATTTCAAAAGAAGGGAGTCAGAGCTGTGAGTCACTAATCTCTAGTGAGGAAAAGAAATAGATTCCCAAAATACCCTGATTCTTGGCAAAGCAAGTTATAAATTAGTATCCTTGGGGAAAGGAGAGGACGAAGCACTGACGAAGAGAATGTTTGTTTCCTAGCTTGATAAGGGTGGCTGGAGAAAGTGCTAACTCCTTCAGATTTGTGATGCAATACTGAGAGAACACTTTGCTCCTCAATAGAAAGAAACTCCTCATTTTCTTCTCTTTCGGTAATAAGATGGATCCTAGCTCAAGCCATGGTAAAGCAAGGTGGTGATTTCTCCAAGTCCCACCTAGCAGGACCGACCCAGACAGTCTGAATTTGCAGATGGGGCTTTCAGGGCCACCTGATCAAAGCCTGTTCGCTCTACACTGTCGTGCTGAACACACAGTAGAGAAGCCTAAGCATGATCACTCTGAATTCACTCCTGGTGTCTCATTCCTCTGTATTTCCTCTCCTTCTCCTGGAGCCTTCCTCTGTAAGCTAAGAAGCACACTCGACATTCCTAGACCCTGGAAGAAGACATCTCCACAAAACTCAAAAAAATACAGTGGATACTTATTTTTTCTTTTTTTCAAGGCGGTGTTTCTCTGTGTAGTCTTGGCTGTCTTGGAACTCACTATGTAAATCAAGCTGGCCTCAGATTCAGCCTTTGCCTGCCAAGTGCTGGGGTTAAAGGCGTGCACCACCAATTCCTGACTCTCAGTTTTTTTAAAGTCAAATATAATATGGCTCATAAATATGGTTTCAGTTCTTAATCTAATAGAAAAAGTTCAATACCATGAAATAATAAAAACGAGAGCAAGACGTAAGAAATATATGATAAATTTCCACAGCAGATTTGTAGAAGTCAAATAACCCACATTCAACTCAGACACATAATTTTATTATGTCTACATATATTTTTACAATTTATTTATTTTTATTTCATGTTCATTTCTGTTTTGCCAGCATTTATGTCTGTGTGAAGTTGTCAGATTCCCTCAAACTGGAGTTACAGGCAGTTATGAGTTGCCATACAGGTGCTGGGAATTGAATCTGGGTACTCTGAAAGAGCAGCCAGTGCTCTTAACCACTGAACCATCTCTCCACCACGTCTACATATTTTTAAGTTTTACTTCTTTGTTCATTTTTATGTGTTTGAGTGTTTTGCCTGCATGTATATATGTAAGCCATGTGCATACCTGGTGCCCTCAGAGGCTAGCAAAGGACATCAAATCCTTTGAAACTAGAGCGACAGATGGTTGTGAACCAACATGTGGATGCTGAAAATATTCAACCCGGTCTTCTGCAAGGACAGTCCATTCACTTAACCATTCAGTCGCCCCTCCAACCCCAGGCCTAGACATTTTAGGAAGCTACATAGCTGACATTTTCCTTGCTCCCAACCAAAATTTTCCTAACAATATAGTAAAAAAAAAAAAAAAGAAAAGAAAAAGAAAAAAAAAGTAAGAGAAAAAGAAAAGAATAACTAGCTTGGACTAAGAAAATTTGAGTGCCGCACACTATTTGAGCACAGAGCACAGGAGCAGCAAGGGCTGACGGAGGCTTATATCCTCGTTCCCTCCATCTTGGGCAGTTCACCTTCCCACAGCAGAGCTGTGTGACTGAGTTCTAGAGGACAGAATGGGAGTCGATACGCACACCTTTAGGACTGGCCCACAAAAAGGCCCTGAACATATCTCTTCATGTGATTTTTGTTTGTTTGTTTGCTTGTTTTTTGAATTCTGAATGGCTAGCAGAGTTGACTGCCATGGCAACCTTCTCAGAGGCCCCTGTCAACTTGGGTCTCTGGAGCTACATGCAATAGTCACCCTCAGAATTTATCTCAGGACCCTCTGCAGATATCAGAATGCATAGATACTTGTCTCTTCTATAAACTGATGACATTATTTGTATATCACCTGGTCATACCCTCCCCTATGTTTTAACTATCTCTAGAATGCTTAAATACATAATACAATGTAAACTGTTGCTATACTACATTGTTTAGAGAATAATGACCAAGAAAAATGTCAGTCATGTTGGAAAAGAAGCAGGCTTTTTTTCTTAAAAAAAAAACACACACCAGGGTCTCATTAAGTAGCTCTGACTGGCCTTGAACTCAGAGATTTGCCTGCCTCAGGCTGCAATTAAAGGTATGCGCTACCACTTGCAGCTCACAGGTTTTGTTTTTTAAAAATATTTATTTTATTTTTAAACAATTATTTAATATTAATTGTGTGTGTGTGTGTGTGTGTGTGTGTGTGTATACACATGTACACACATGAGGCCAGGAAAAGGTGTCAAATCCCCTGAAGTTGAAGTTATTAGGCAGTTGTGAGCTGGTCAAGATGGGTACTGGGAATACCCAGTCTGCATATGACTCCCACTTGACCCAAACAGTTGGGAAGAATGCTTAAAGTTTACTCTTAGTAAGAGCAATTTAAAAGACTCTGATTGGTTAATAGTTTGGCTTCCAGATGTGTATAACAGGTATTGAATAGTATTGGGTACGGCTCTACTAAGGAAGAACTAAAGGACGTAGACTTAAAGATTCAGAGGGCAAAACCTAGCACAATGAAGGGAGAAAGATCTACCTCAAGATATCACATCTTTAAGAAAAAAAATTAAAGAAGAAAACAGCCAAAAAGATAACACATTACTGTGGAATGTCATAAATGACACAAATCCCAAAAGCTTCCAAAGAGAAAAATATGGCCCAAATATAAAAGATTTGGAGTCAGAATGATAAAGAAGCAGATGCCAAAAGACAATGGAATAATACCTTTAAAAATCTAACAGTGGGGCTGAAGAGATGGCTCAGTGGTTAAGAGCATGGGCTACTCTTCCAGAGGACACAGATCCATTCCCAACACCCACAACAACCTCCTATCAGTTCAGTTCCAGGGATGTCCAGGACTCTGATGCCTTCTTCTGGCTTCTATTGGCACAGACACATGCAGACAAAACACCCGTAAACATAAAATATAAACAAATAGTTTTAAAAATCTAAAAGTAAATAATTTCATACCTAACCATGCTATTAATCAACTCTTGAGGACTTATTTACCATTTATTTACCAGTTATTTACTGAAAGATAGCCAACCAAAAAGAGGGAGACAAAATACAAAAGCATGGGATCCAAGAAATAAAGGATCCAGTAGAGAGGGACCTAGAGAGCTGGCTCAATGGTTAAGAGCATTTGGCTGCTCTTTCAGA